AGAAAGAGACAGGGAGGAGAGGAGACAGAAGGAGCAGGAGAGGATACAGAGAGAGAGGGGGGGGGGAAGAGAGGTAGGGAGGTGAAGAAGAAAAAAATAGAAGAAAGAGGAGAGAAAGAAGTTGGGTTGGAGGGCGTGAGGGAAGAGAAAGAGAAAGAAGGGTCAGAGAAAGAGTCTACCTTCACATGTTCTTCCATCAGCCTGCAGCTCATAGCCTTTGGCACAACCACACTGCGCCGTGAGACCGCCGTCATCGCTGGTACACACATCAGTACAGTTTGCAGACGCACACACTGCGCTCAGGGATGTGTCTGTGGATACAAAAACAAAACGACAAGATTCAAAGATGTGTCAATTTATATGAAAACAAAAAAACAAAATCCAACGATGTGTCTATGGATACAAAAACAAAACAACAAGATTCAAAGATGTGTCTGTCGGCAGAAAAACAAAACAAGGCTTGAGATTGACTTACAAAAACAAAACAGAACAACAAGACTTAGTGACTGACTTCCAGCCTCACACCCTGTGCTCAAGGATGTGTCTATCAGCAGAAAAACAAAACATGACCTAGAGATTGACACACATTCACACACCCCGCCCAGGGATGTGTCTGGGAGCACAAAAACAAAACAGCAAGACTTACCTCACACACAATGCTCAATGATATTATGTGTGTCAGTAGAAAAACAATACAACATGGGACTGGCTCAGAGTTTAGTCCAGATAAAGATAAACGCACTTTTAATTTCTTATATATTTTAAGCGTGTGTGTGTGTGTGTGCATATGTGTGTGTGTTTGTGTGTGTGTGTGTGTGTGTGTGTGTGTGTGTGTGTGTGTGTGTGTGTGTGTGTGTTGTTGTTGTTGTTGTTATTGTTGTGTGTATGTGGTAGCCTATCCGTTCGAAATGTTTGGAGCCCCGAAGAGCGTACTCTTCGCCAGGGCCACAGCCTCTCTTGGGTAGCAGGTGAGGCAGTCCAACCTCCTTGAATCCTCCCCAAAGAGATGCCACCGCCGGATGTCGTTGTTGTTGTTGTTGTTGTTGTTGTTGTTGTTGTTGTTGTTGTTGTTGTTGTTGTTGTTGTTGTTAAAGTACAAGTCTCACCTCTCTCACAGCTGTGCCCATCTGACTGCAAAGTGTTTCCCGGGAAGCAACCGCACTCAAAGCTCCCCTCTGTGTTGGTGCAGTCATGGTCACAGTTGTTGGTGGCCTCTGCACACTCGTCGATATCTGAATATATATGTCGGGCATTGTGGTGAAACGACGTGATCGTCAATATCTGAATATATATGTGGGGGGTCAAGGTGAAGGTGAATTGAAACGATCATTAATTTATTATAAATATATGTGTGGGATCAAAGTGAAATTAGACGGTTCGTCAATATCTGAATAAATTTTTGGGATTGTGGTGAAATGAGGCAATCGTCACAAAATTGAAATTAAAAAAACCGACATCATTCCCACTGTTGTACAACTTTCAAAACCAAAACCTTTTACTATTAGATGGTGCCAATAACTCCATAATATGCTCAAAAATTGATGAACATTGAGTGGCTGCACAAAAAAATGATAACGTGAATCTTCACGATGTATGATCGCTCAACAGCGTCTGTAGTGTAGGTGTTGAGGTCTTCACTGTCGTAGGCATCCACCCGAGAGCGATTCTCGAGTGGGAAGATTTTTTATTGAGCATCTCTGGCTTTGACAAAGCCCAGTCCGAGATGAGTCGGTAAAAAGTTGTTGGAGATGCATTGAATACACTCCCAAGAAGTCAAGTAATTGCATAACAAGGAAAGTGTCCGATTGGAACCCACAGGGTAAAAGATCCAGGGAAAGACCACGTGGAACCTGGAGAAGAGTCACGGAAATGGATGTACCGAAAAGTTGGAAGACATAGACTGACATCAAGTGACTAGCCCAGGACAGGAAAAGTTGGAAAGTGTTTGTCCGTGGCCTATACCCTAGTGCAGGGTGAGAAAGAATTTGTTCGTGGCTATACCCTGGTGCAGGGTGAGAAAGAGTTTGTTCGTGGCCTATACCCTGGTGCAGGGTGAGAAAGTGTTTGTCCGTGGCCTATACCCTGGTGCAGGGTGAGAAAGAGTTTGTTCGTGGCCTATACCCTGGTGCAGGGTGAGAAAGAATTTGTTCGTGGCCTATACCCTGGTGCAGGGTGAGAAAGAGTTTGTTCGTGGCCCATACCCTGTTGCAGGGTGAGAAAGTGTTTGTTCGTGGCCTATACCCTAGTGCAGGGTGAGAAAGGAAATGACGATGATGACCTTTGAGTTTGTGCACGGGTGTTGGGACTCTCTCAGCCCGGGTTTGCTCTGACAGACAGGGTCGTAAGCCCGCTTCCTCAATGGTCTAAATTGTGTCGCCTGTGGTGTAAAAGACAATTGTGTCACGACGCGGTGGAATCAGGCACTCATCAATTTTTGGGCATAAGGAGTTATTGGTATCATCTTAAATGTTGCTCATTTGTCTTGCTTTTGATTTTAAAAAATACTCATTTATCTTCGATAGAAATCGAGATATGTCGAATTGAGGCAAGTGAGGTCACTTGATTTCAGAAGTAAAATTAGAGAGAAAATGACTGCCAAAATTTGCCAACTTCTAAAGCTTGAGAGTCCTTAGAAACTGTAAATTTACGTTTTTGTGCATTTAATTAATCAACAATTTTCAGTAAAAAGCAACACAGCAATGCTATTTTAAATAGACATAAACGGGAAGAAAAATATTACTTTCCTCTATATCATTATTTTGACGGGCGCCAGGTATCACCACGATGCCTCATGTCACAATTACATTTTCTAAAATCTACTATACGCCTAACTTGAACATAAAACATAAAAAAAACACAAATTCGTGGCAATCACAACGAAGCCATAGATTGGGCGTACTGAAATTGTGCTCCATAATAATATGTTGATATCGTAATAGCAAGACATTCTGGGAATGTATTGACTGCCTGGCACAGACCTACATTGGGGGGATCTCGTGGCCAAGAGGTTAAGGCGTTGGCCTCTCATTCAAAGGTCCCGGGTTCGAATCCGAGTAGCGACCGACAAATTTTCTTCTCTAAAATTGTCTCCTTTCACCTCCTTTCATGCTCTCTGGCAATGTTCTGTCGTCTGCTTTCGTCACTTCTTTCTGCCACCACTCCCCCAGCTCCTTTACCCTCCTCCTCTGGGCTCTTGGCTCTTTCTACTGCTACTCCTTGGCTCCTTCTTACTGCTGTCTTTCAGCCACACCCCTGATCTTCTGGTAGGAAAGATCTACACGTAGCCTTTTCGGACAAGGGTGAATAATCTCGGAGAGCCGGTGTGCAAGTTGCGCATGTTAAAGATACCCTGGTGGTCTAAAATCGATAAAAGTAGGCTTCGGCCACCACCAGGGCAAAATTTAAAATGTCCTACCAACTGAAAATATTAAGTGTGTCCCGCGCGCTCATATGACTTTATGCAGTTGCAAGCGACGTAAAACACTTACCAAAAACAAAAAAAAACCCTACATTTAAAAAAATGGCGTCGCCTCTATTATAACACACTCATGACGTAGAATGTTATAAGGGAAATACGTGCATGTCATGACTACATTATCTCTCTTTGACTGTCTATGTCCGTTGGATCCCCCCCCCTCCCCCCACCCTCTCTTCTGTCTGTCTGTCTGTATGTCAGTCTGTCTGTCTCTGTCTGTCTTGTCTTTCTCTCTCTCTCTCTCTCTCTCTCTCTCTCTCTCTCTCTCTCTCTCTCTCTCTCTCTCTCTCTCTCTCTCACACACACACACACACACACACACACACACACACACACGCACTCGTGATTAATATTTATAATAGATAGATAGATAGATAGATAGATAGATAGATAGATAGATAGATAGATAGATAGATAGATAGATAGATAGATCAACAGACAGACAGGCAGACAGACAGACTGACAGATAGACATAACAGACAGACAGACACTGACAGACAGACAGACATAACAGACAGACAGTCAGGGCACTCTCACCCGTGCAGTTTCCTGCTCCGTCCTCCCTGAAGTGCTCATCGCACGGACACTCGTAGGAGCCGACTGTGTTGACACACGTGCTGTGAGCGGGACACGCGTCTGTCGTATTGGCACACTCGTTCACGTCTGAAAACACACCACAACAACACACTCGTTCACATTTATTTAACAATTATTGCTCATTTCTATTATGCATGCGGCTGTGAGCCTGTTTGTGAGCGCAAAGATGCTATTGTCTTTACTTGGTTATGTCGTACACAGATGTGTGTTGAGGAGAGGATGTGTGACTGTGAGAGAATGTGCATATATATTATATAGATCTAGTAGTGTGTTTGGGTTTGCGTTTTGCACACGCGCGTGTGTTTGCGTGTGTGTGCGTGAGTGTGTACCTGTGTGTATATGGGTTTACGTGTGAGTGCGTATGTATGGGGGTGTCTGTTGGTGTGTATGTGTAAGTGTGTAGACCTACGTGGGGGAACACCAAACCAATACACCAGGATCTGGACAATAAAGATTAATTTATCTTATCTTAGCTGTTCTTATATCTGTAACAACACAACAACGACACACGTGCTCACATGTGAAAACGCACACACAAAAATGTAACTCATTGAGGACACGCATACGCTACCCTAGAAATACAAGTTCTAGATCTATCTACTCTAGTTTTGAGAAATTTGACGTTAACGAGTTTGAGTTTCACAACATGTCAAATTTTTTCGAAAGAAATTCTTTGAATACCTTGATAACGACTCTGATTAATAACCTTGCGGGTTTTGATAGGGCAAATAGATTATTCTGTGTAAACGAAACCGTATCAAACCTACCGTTGCAGGCCCCATCTCCCAGGTTCTGATAGCCGTCTGGACAGTCTCCACACTCAAAGCGTACAGTAGCCGTGGTGTTGGTGGAGGGGACGTTAGTACACGCCTGGCCCTCTGAACACGGCTCTTCGCTACACGCGTCCACCTCTGTCTCACACTCCGCG